AGCAGTGGGTGTTTACTTCAGAGTTTACAATCCACAATGCCTATTCAAACGGAGCGATCTGATGAGGGGGGTTCAAACAAGGCAGTTCATGACCCCTTTAAAATAATTACATTTATTCCCAAAAATGATTTCAAAATAAATAAACAGTAATAAAAATGCAGTAAACTAAGTTATTTTGTTCGGAAAGCTTTTCTAAACAATACTACCCTTTCCGTGCCACTGACTTCCATAAATACATAGGCTATGCAAACAAACAGAAAGAACACAAACATCAATGAAAATGACAGCAAGAAATTAGCTGTTTACTGACCCAAATCAAAAGTGCACACCTCAAAGTCTTAATATTCACTAGCTTTACTCCCTCTGTCAGTGCAAGTCTAAGGGATTTTTTCACAAAAAGTGAAAGTCTCCAAGGTGCAGGTCTGATCAAATCAAGCCAATAAAATGTATTCAGCTTCAGGATATCCAAAATGTAGATAAGTTTTTTTTTCCCCTCATCAAAACAGATTTGGAGAAATTGAGCATTATATCACTTGCTCACCAATGGACTATCTGCAGTGAATGGGTGCTGTCAAAATGAGAGTTTAAACAGCAGATAAAAACATCACAATATTTCCACAACTCAACTCTAGTCTATCAATTAACATCTTGTGAAGTTAAAAGCTGCATGTTTGTAATTAATTATTCATTAAGTCTTTTTAACTTTAAATCACTTCTGGCCATAATAGTCCATAATCCATAATAATGATTCCTCCAGTGAAAAAGTGCATCCCCCGTTGTCCTCTCATATCAAAATCCACTTTCATATTTGTTTAGAACTTTATTTTTGCTTGTAGATTACGTTTGATCAGTGGGTATTTCTCTCCTGCTTCAGACAAGATGATTTTTTTTCACTGGAGAAGGCAATATTACAGATGGGGGACTTAGCCGCAAGCAACACTTTGAAGTAAAACGTCTTAATGATCGGTTAGTTTATTACAAACACGCAGCTTTTAGCTTCACAAGATGTTACGTGATGGACTGGAATTGTGTTGTGAATTATTGTGATGCCCTCCTTTGAACAGCACCCATTCACTGAAGAGGATCCACTGGTAAGCAAGTGATGTAATGCTAAATTTCTCAATTCTATTCTGAAAAAGAAGCAAACTCATCATTTAGATGGCCCAAGGCTGAGTGATTTTCCAGAAAATGTTCAGTTTTATGAGTTATTCAATTTAACCTCTAGCCTCCATGTTCATAGCCCTAAAAGCCTGAGCAATAGCAATATGATAGCTGCATTTTGCAAATATTATTAGTGCACTATTACTGGTCCATGTACATTCACCAAACGCCCCTTGATGAGTCAAAACTGGATTTAACTAGAACTAAACTAGGCTCACAAATGCCATTTAACCTGTTACAAGAAATCGTGTGACTGCTTGTGATCAAGTACAGAACAGACAGGACACAACATCATGGCCATCCAGTCTAACCAATTCATCATCTTAAGAAGGGGACATTAAAACATTGTATAAATAATACTACTATAGATTAATAATTTAAGCATGCACTAGTGTTTTCCAATAAAGTATCTAATTGGTGACTTCTATTAATTAAACCTGCTATAAAGGTCAATATATTAATTCCAGTGATGTGATTGCATTTGTCCTTACCTTGAGTCGTTTGACGACTTCATCATTGCTGATTTTATCAGTGATCTCTTTGACACCCAGTGGGTAGATGATCTTTCCGTCCCCCGCCGGTCTTTGCTGCTGAGGCTGCTGCGGGAACTCCATCATCCTTCTCTAGACAGACAGACGGTCCTCTACTGGCCTCTATAGGCAACAACACTAAAGTTCAGCACACAAACCCACCACACCACTACAAAAACACTAAAAAACACCGTATGCGCTTCTGTTTCGTGCTCTCTGGGCGTGTAGCTAACATCTCTATAACCGTGCAATGACACGAAAACCCTACAGACGACAGTTTGCGGGAAAATCCCGAAAAAAGCACGAAGCTAATGAAGCTAATAGCACTAACGTTACTAGCCAGAGAGCTAACGAGACCCGCTCCGCTGCCGCGCTTTTACTCTTAAACGTAGTATCTATGCATTTAAAGCTCTCCTGACAAGGGTCTCCTCATATTATGCACGTTCAGACATAACCATACTACTTGGATAATAAAACATCGTTTAAAAGCACCTCAGAGAGTAAAAGAACTCCTTGAGCTGCTATCGGCCTAGCCGTCAGCTCCAGGCCTCAAACTACTCAACAAACACACAGCCAACACTCACATTTACCTATTAAAATCACAACCCGCCGCTTCCTGTGACCCCAAAAACATTTATTCCATATCGCTCACTCGACACTACTCCACTACGGCCGTTATCTTAACTTTAGACGGTAAGAAATCTTAATTGTTTACTTGTTTTCTCTGTACAAGTTCACTCAGCGAGGCAAACAGCGACCACCAACTTGATCATCCCACACAAACTGTTTGAATTAAACTCCCTCGAGCGACCCCAGTTGCCTTACAACAGCCTACAGATCATTCCCCGGTCATTACCTCACAGACAATTCGTTGTTTTAATGCATGAGTCGGGTTCGGGTGTTTTTTTTTTTAGTTTAGGGCACAAAGCTCCGTCTCTTTCATACAGGCTTGTGCGAACGTCCTCGCGTGGAAAGTGGAGGCGCAGCGACCCCATTGGCTGAAAGACGGTATTGCAACGCGCCGATGGAGGGAGAAATATTACCATACAGGTTAGAAAAGAGACGCATAAAATCTGAAAGAACAGCACTGAATTTGGTTTACCGTAAATCTCAGAGAAGACGCACCTCTACATTGACTTGCACAACTGGTGAAAGAACTGCATCTGAATGTAGGCAATTGCATAGCATACGTTTTTGTACTTACCCCCCCGCTCCCCCACAAAAAACTAATACATAAGAAATATATATATATATATATATATACATTTGTGAAAATAATAGAGTTATAATTAGTGCTGTCAACCGATTAATCGCATCCAAAATAAAAGTTTTTGTTTGCATAATATATGTGTGTGTTCTGTGTATATGTATTATGTATATATAAATACACACACATACAATATATATTTTGAAAACATTTACATATATTTATATGTATATATATTTATATTCATATAATTTATATTATATATAAATATATTTAATATATAAACATAACGGATGCGAATCATGTGATTAATCGCAATTAATCGTTTGACAGCACTAGTTATAATGTAATATTTCAGAGTGAATTGAATTTCAGAGTGATTTTAAATGTTTTAATGTCTCTTATGCTCACCAAGGCTGCATTCATTTAATCAAAATACAGTACAAATATCAGTACTATTGTGAAATAGTATTAATATTTGAAATATAATCTTTTGTATTGTAAATTTACTGTCACTTTTGATCAATTTAATACATATTTGCTGAATAAAGCACACACACACGCAATGGCCCCAAACATTTGAATGGTATGTTAGATCGGGTCTCCACGCCAGATAATAATTAGGATCCAGCCCCGGACGCCAGATCCCGTCAGAAAATATCAGTTTGTCCAGTAACAGAACAACTAGTCAGCAGTGCTGCATACCAAACCCTGTTAACAGCAAGTCTTGTCTGGTATCCAGAAATACCCAAAACGAGTGTTTAACAGTGTTCTGTCAGTCAAGAAGAAGTTGACAGAGGAAAGCCAGAGAAGAGCAGAAGCAGGAGACGAAGTGATGATGGAAAAAAGTAACAGAGTTTACTGAACAAACTTAGTTGTGTATGTGTCAATGTTCAAACTTCATCTGACCAGCACAAATTCAACATGTACTGTTATACCAAAACTGCTTCACAGCAACATCCCATAAACCTTGGGTTTCCATAAACATTCCCTCTTATCTATCTCTATTCATACAGACAAAACAGTTCATGAAACCCCACAAGCATGAGATTGAACAACAATGAAAATGCATAAGCTAGGGAAAATTAAAAATAAATATAATATATAGAAATATAATAAATTAATAAACATACTGAATGAATAAACAATAAAAATACTTAAATAATATAATGATAAATGATAAAAATAATCAAATGACAAAAATAATGAAATAATAAATCATATGAATGACTAATGTTTATAAAAATGATTATGTGAATAAATGATTATAAACGAAAAAAAACAACATAAAGATTAAAACACAACACACACACAATTTGCACGTGAGGATCTAAGGATCCTTCAGGTAGTATATCATGGTTTCTGCATAAATATTAAGTAGCACAACTGTTTTCAATATTGATAATAATGTTGAATGATCATTGATAAGAATTATTTTTGAGCAGCAGATCAGCATGAATGATAGAATGATTTGGATCATTAATGATGCTGATGAAGTAATGATGCTGAAAATTTAGCCATCACAGGAATAAATTACATTTTAAAATATACTACAATAGAAAACATTAATTCAGTGTAATATTATTTCACAATATTAGTCTTTTTATGTATTTTTGAGCACATAAATGCAGACTTGGTGAGCAAGAGACTTCATTAAAACATTTAAAAACTGTAATGTTTCCAAACTTCTATTATTTATCAAGAATATATAATAGTATTCCAGAGACATGGGACAAAACAGGTTAACAGAATCATTTTTTAGATAAATTTGTTAAAAATGTTCAAACATGCTATTCGTTTACGATATGGTGTAATCCTACATTTCTTATATATTTTAATATATATATTTACTCTTATTTTATCTTGTATTTTTTCGTGTGTACTGGAGGTTTCACCAAGACAAATTCCTCGTTTGTGTTGGCATGCTTGCCATTAAATCCCTTTCTGTTTCAGATTTTTTTTGTTTATCTATGTAGTTTTCCCTCGCAGAATGCCTATAAATACAACAAAGCTGGAGTCATGCTGTTTCCATCCACTAGAGGCGCTGCAGTATTTTTGCTTCTCCGCTGAGAGTTGTTCGTCTGGGTTAGTCACTCTGGTCCACACTCCAGTATAGTAGTGGCGGTAATGCACCTTAACGTTGGATGCCACCCGCCATAAAACATGAAGAAGAAGAAGAAGTTGTTCGTCTGGTTTTCTTCTTTACTTTCCTTCCTCTAGTAAAACTTGAAAACAGTGGATTTGTCGTCGGTGTCTTGTGAACGGGTCACAGCAGAATGCCAAAGAAAAAGAAAAACGGACTGAGTCCCTCCCGAGCCCCGTTGCATGCGGCTGAATACGGGAGCGGATCCGAGAGTCGAGCACACGGGGCAAACGGACCTTTTGTGACCCGGCCGGACTCATCATATGATAACTTTGGATCCACACAGTTCAGGAGCGATCAGCTGGAATCTCAAAGCAGAGACGAAATTATCGAGAGCATGCAGGAGATGTTTTCACATTTGGATTCAGAAGTAATTTACATGGTGCTCTCAGAAGCAGATTTTAAAGGTAAGAGTAAATGGCCACCACTGGCTGTAATTTTAGCAGGTGTCTAATGCAAGTTAGTTTTGGGAACAGACAGCACACAATCCAGTAAGATACAATATAATCAACGATTGTATTTATAGACCTTTTGTTACTGTTACCTGTAGGAAAACCTATCTGAAGCTGGTAGATTTGTTTTGGAACATGGTAACGTTAGCTGGTTTCTGTGTGGTGGTCTTCACTTGGTGCAAGATGGTCATTAGCTGCCTGACCAACTACCATGCTCCAAAGCCAGCTTTCCCATCTTCACCTGGTATGGCCAACTGGTAGCAGGTTTGTTAATGGTCAGAGTAGGGCTGGACGATATGGCCAAAATTGATATCACGATATATTGATGGCTAAAGATCAGCTTGGACCCCCTAATGACCATCTTAGACCACCTAGAAACCAGCTACATATACCAAAGCACCACCTTCACCTAGATTCACTTAGTTACCTAATATTATTATATGTTCTTTATATTATTATTATATATATTATATTTAAAATCTTGTAAGTTGACGTCGTGACGTATGATATGATTAAGTTCTTAAACTGAAAAATGACATGACATACAAGTTTGGGATAATAAAGTTTTTTTTAATGTTTTTGTAAGGCATAATATGTTCACCAAGGCTACATTTATTTGATTAGAAATACATTACAAAACGTAATATTAATGAATTAAAATAACTTTTCTAATTTAATGTATTTTAAAATTTAATTAATTGCAAAGCTGATTTCTCCCCCTTACGTCTTAATTGTCAGATCCTTCAGAAATCATTCTGATATGCTGATTTGGTGCGAATTTATTATCATTTATTATTGGTGCTCAATTATTAATTATGGTTCTTATTATGTAGTTTATGCTACTTAATAGTTTTTTTGTGTAAACTGTGCTAAATTGTTTCAGTATTTTATGACTAATTAAAAGTTTTAAAGCAACAGAATTTATTTGAAATGGAAATCTTTTGTAACATTACAGACTTGCTGAAAGTATTAAATCATTTTTAACCCTTACGCATTTCCAAACTTTTAAACAATTTCTACAAACAATATTCTCAGAAGCAAAAACTATTTTCACTATTCATAATAATAAGAAATATTACTATTTCTTAAGCACCAAATCAGTTTATTAGAATTTCTGAAGGATCATGTGACACTGAAAAGCAATGGCTACTAAAAATTCAGTGTTGTCATCACAAGAATAAATTGCATTTTAAAATATATTTAAATAGAAAACATTTTTTTAAATGTAATTATATTTCACAATGTCCTTAAATATTGCACATATGCTGTTTTAAAATATTCAAGTGTTTCTTGTTCATCTCTGCATTAGTGGACAATGCGATGGATTCCCTTTTGGAGCTGTCAGATGCTGCTGAGGTCATAGCTCCACCCCCTCCTCCTGTCTCAGGCTTTGAGCAGGCAGCCGCTCTTCTGGGAACAAACACCACTCAAGCAGATCCCCTCAGTGAAACGGCGCAGAGCTTCATCTTTTCAAACCAGCCTGCATCTCAAGCAGAGCTCAGTCCTAATGAAACACACCTGACAGAGGAGTTTGATGCTCTCATAGATAAGGAACTTCAAACATTGACGTCACAGCAGTCAAAAACTAGCTCGCATCCTCTGATGTCCTCCATACCACTGTCTTCTCTGCCCCCTCCTTCTCCATCGATCCCTCTCTCCTTGCTGCCTCTTACACCCCAGACTCAGCTTCCAGCTCCTCTAACTTTACCAGAGCAGGCTGAGCAGGCCTCATACTCTGACCCCGGGCTCAGTGAGGCCCATGGCGGTAGTTCACCCGTGAATGAATTAAGTTTTGGTGGGGTTCATATCCCTGAGACCAACACCTTATCTCTTGACTTTAGTCACCTAACACTGGAGGCCAGCTCTACTGAACCACGGCCCTCAGCCTTCCAGGTTTACCGTAGACCTGACCAACTCCGTAACCACGCAGCGGCAAAGCAGCATCAAGAAGCACTCCGCACTCCTGCCATGTTCTGGAACACTCAGGCTGCTGAGTTTCATCCTCGCGCTGTGGGGCCAACCTTCATTACACCTGTCATTCCTAACCCCGCACCTTGGAGCACTAATCCCATCCATGCTGCTCAGTGGTTGGCTCATGGACCTATCAGACAAGCACCTCTGAAACCTTCCGCGACTGTACCGGAGTCGTGGACTCTGCCCCCCAGGAACAGACTCATATTGGAAGGGCAGTTGTTGGTGTTGCTTAGAGGGGCTCCTGGATCAGGCAAAACCACCCTTGCCAAGTAAGCAAGAAGACACATATCTGGGATATGTGTTATTTTACCGAAAAGAGAAGGAATAGCGTAAAGGAAACCTCTTCTTTTATGGTATTTTAAGTTCTGGAAGAAGAGAGTATAATGTGCTTTGTTTTCTTTAAACTATGTAGTCCATGAAAGCAGTTTATGACGTACAACACTCCATTATGTAGAGGAAATAGATTTCCTTCGGGGGAAGTTTGGGTCATTAAGATTAATTTAGATGGTGCTAAAAGAATTAGATGGATTGTCCTTTGGTAACGCTTCATGGGTAGAAAATATGCCATGTGGTGGTGTCAAATTTTCTTATTTTTATAATTGTTGAAGCTTTTTTCATGGTACATGGTATTATCACACTCTGTATTACATTACAAAACAGAGGTTTGCAAGATAAACCTAGTTGTTTTAGTGAAGTTTCAGTGTACTTTTTAAATATCAGATTGGCCTTTGAAAAGAACTTTGAAAAGAACATTTAAGAAACAAAATTGTGTTTTAAATAAATAGAAAAAAGTTCAATAAATAGGCTAAACATTAAATTAATATTTGAACCTTCTGTGGAGCAAAAGAGCAAAAGCTTGTTTCATTTAGAATTTTTGGTATGCATACAGACTGTGAAAGCAATAATACATGACAATTATCAAAGTATGCTGTAGTGAATACCAGCACATATATTGTAATTAGATTTTGAAATGAACTACACTGGCAGATAACCGTGCTCACCGCAGATATGGTAGAGTATGTTCGTAAATAAAGTGTATTCGTTTTTGTCTCTCTCTTGTTCAGTGCTATGTTGGTGCAGAACCCTGGAGGAGTTGTTTTAAGCACTGATGATTATTTTACTCGAAATGGACAGTACCATTTTGAGCCAAATTTACTAGGAGAGGCCCACGAGTGGAATCACCAGAGAGGTGAGTATTACAGGGAAATGGATAACTACTGTGAAATTGTACACTCTCCAACTTAATGTCACTGTAAAAAACATTGCTTGATTGTTTGAAAGACTCAGCCAGCATGACATGGCAACATTGGCTCAACCAGTAGTGTGAGTTTGGTGAGGGACTACCTGTTTGGATGAAAAATATTTTGAAAACGGTCATTATTTTCGCTATTCTGCTCGGCACCGCTGATAGCACATAAAATTACACACTTCAAGTTTAATCTTTATATAATCTTTCTGCAATTTCTTTGTGGTGATCAACATTTCAGCAAAAGAGGCTTTTGAAAAAGGACAGTCACCCATCATAATAGACAACACCAATATGCAATGTTGGGAGATGAAACCATACGTTGCCATGGTAAGCAATTTATTTTGAAATGCGTAATATGAAATAGGCCTAAGTTATTAATTTTCAATATCAGACAATGACCATATGTTTTGGTCTGAGCAATCAGCTGTGGCTCTTCCAGGTTTAATTTCACAAGTTGAACAATTTATTGTAATGCATATGAATGAATGAATGAATGACTTTATTGTCATTGTACAGGTACAACGAAATTGAATGCAATCCTTTGGGTGCATAGGGATTATTGTACTGCTCCAAATCCTGATGTTTGAAAACATATCATGATACACAATTATACATTATTATATATCATATTTATTGGTTTAACTTTAGAATATTCCATACTTTACAGTGTACACAGACATGATCTGCAAACAGATTCGGCCATTGTGTTGATTGTAGGCTTACGTTTTCCTTCTCCTAGGCACAGAAACATAGATATAAGGTGCTGTTTCGTGAGCCAGATACCTGGTGGAAAACTAAACCCAGAGAGCTGGAGAAGTATGTTAAACACAACCACAATCCAGAAATAACTAACGTTGCTACACATTTCATACATAATCCATAAACATAACTAATTTAAGAACAGTTATCTTTAAACTGGTTTTCTTGGGAGTCTGAACAAGTTACCCTTAATATATGTAGAACTTATGCACAACTGTGATCCATTGCTTTTAAGTCATTTTATGATCACGAATGTTTGCCATTTTTGCAAACTCTCTGTGATTTTCCCTCTTTATAAAGGCGCACAAGGCATCAAGTAACAAAGGAGAAGATCAGACGCATATTAGAACGGTATGACCGATTTGTCTCTGTCCAGAGCATCATGAATTCACAAAGACCGGAACCAGTGACAAGTGTTGTGGATTCGTCACAAACAGAGACTGGGCAACCCCAGTAAGTATATGCGTTATATTAATGTTACTTCACAGAATTTTTGTTGTGTTTTACTGTGTCACACCTTTAGTAATTATGAAAACACTGACTGTGAAGCCGTATGATTTCTTATGTATTTAAACAACAATATGTATTTCTCTCATTCCCTTCAGGCAATCTTTTCACCCTGGCCTCAGTCATCCTGATCTTGTTGGTGACTCTGGGTTGAGCAAACTCAACACAAACCTTTCCTCATCTCTGCCCGATGTATCCTCTGTTAGCCAGAGTTACAGTACCATATCTGCAGGTGAGGAAGAAGGTGAAATGGGCTCATACAGTTCCAAGGAATCGGTCTTGTTCCATGAGAATATTCTGGAAGGGTCTGGAGCTCCTCAGTCTGATCTTCTTGATACTGAAGGGTTAGACTTAGAGCTAGATGCCTGCCTTGTGGATACGGAAAAAGATTTGGGAAATTTGAGTAGTGGAACAACTGAAGAATTTGTAGTGTCAGTGCATGAAAAGTTTACGGAGCCGCTTGTGGCATTTTCAGAGTCCATTGCTCAGCGTGTGAGGAGGGACAGAGTAAAAGATAGAAATGCACTAGGAACTAGTGCCATTGATCAACCTGTGAACTTTGACTCCAGTGTTGACTCTCCAGGGCAAGATGAGGAGGGATGTGAAGGCGAGACTCTTTCTGAAGACAAAGTAGTGCGGCCAGAGCTGTTGGATTTTGTTGGGGACTGGCCACTGGAATCTCATAGTCAACATCAAGGAAGACTTCAGAATTCAGAGAATAATACTGTTAAGAACACTGTTTTGGTATCCAGTGTTGTTGAACACAAAGATAACACTTCTGCTGATGAAGACAAGCATTCTGATACTGATAAGCTGAATACAGTTGATTTTCAAAAACTTGTAGATCTACTGCAATGTGGAATATACTCTTCTCCAGGTTTTTACCAAGGTCCAGCTCCAAGTAAAGAGACTACTCTGAATTCCCCTTCCATTGGTGGAAAAGAGGGTAACATGAACCTGGAGACTGTGGTTTGGCCTGAACTTCCTGACTGTGTGCTGGAGAGAACGTTTACAGAGTGCACTGACGCATGCAAAGACTACTCAAATTCTTCAAGTCCATCAAAACAGAGAGCAGACCCAACTGAGCAGTCTAATCAGGTGTCTGCTGAGAAGAACACACAGGATGAGGTTGAGCAGGAGGACAATGTGTTGTCAAAAGATAAATGCAGATTGAGCCCAAATGTCCAAGAAACTCTGTGCTCAAAGGTTGCCGTAGACTCGGAGAGCAGTCTGGAAAGACGAAGAGGGCTTAGCCGAAGAGTGGGGAAATCTTGTAAACTGGCTCTTACCTTCACCAATCAAAGCCCTTCATCACCTTGCTCACAATCTCCAGTTGTTTCACATCTGCACCCTGATCTTACACCTACAGCGCAACCACCTTCATTGCCTGTGGAGTCATGTTCCAGTGCCTCAACCCAGACACAACCTCAGGACTTTGCCTTGCTTTGGCGAATTGACCAGATGAAATGTTCTGAATTAGACTCTGACTTATCTATTTGTGGTGTTGTTTTGGAGGGATACTCTTTGCGTTTCATGCCAAAAACAAGTCAACAGGAGTCTGCCTGCCAGCAGGGAGTGCCATACCGTGTGGTCCATGAGAAGGGTTCTCAGGTAGAAGAGAATGATTTTAGAGAATCTAACTCTAAAAAGCAAAACCTTGAGATTCTGAGCCGCCATTTCAGATGTGTCTCCATTGATATTCTGGAGGACCTTTATGAGAAGTGCCATCAAGATATCGAGTGGACAACCAACTTGTTACTAGATTCCGGAGAACGACTGTATAAAGAAGATGATGAGGGAGATGATTATTTGGTTCCTGAGGAAGAGCCATGTAAATCATCTATAAAACCATCAGAAACTGTGATGGGCTCAGAAAGTGTTCAGGCTAGACCTGTATTGTCTGATGACTCCAGCAACAGTTCAGGAAGTAGCATCAGTCTCAAGTCCCAAGAAACTAACCTTAGTGACGTTAGCCAAGCTGATGATGATTGGACTCCAGGTCAAAGTTCACAAAGTGAAGCTGAAGGATCTGATGAGGCAGGCATGACAAAGGAGAAATGTAAGCCTAAAACTTCCTTTGGAGCATTAAAACAGCCGACAAAAGGCACTGAAGTACAACTGGAGGTTACGGCAGCTAATGAGCAACAGACAGACAACACAGGTCAGCAAGGTCCAGAGCAGGAAGAGGCATTTGAGAAAGTTCAATGCCTGGAGGAAGCATTGAAGGAATGGAGTGAAGAGGAGGCAGGAGAGAAGGAAAAGGAGGATGAGGAGACAGGAGCAGAGGTGAATGCCATAACACAGTCACTGCTGTATCAGATTGACCAAATGGAGCGCAAAGAGGAGGAAGAGAGGAAGGAACGAGAAAGGGAAAGAAGGAGAACTGCACAGGGTGGGAGGGAGCCAAGTTCAATGGATATTCAAACCTTGGAGCTGAAACTTACAACTGAACTTGCATTGCAGCTCACTGAGCTTTTTGGACCTGTTGGGGTCAGTCCAGGTAATAAAACATCTAATCAATATGTCAAATAAATCATTCAGTTATTAATTTAGTGAATCAAGTCAATCGTTCCAGTGACATCAAGTGGCGACCCAAAACAATAAAAAAAACTGTAACACATATTCAATGTAGTGTGGGTCTATATTTTCAAACCCTGAGAAGTTTTATTCTGAGTAGTTTTTACACGACCTACCCATGATGGAATTTCCCTAATTTGGCTACCTTCTACCAAGTCTCCCTTCTGCCCACAGTCTTGAATAACAACAACAACAGATATTGGGGAGTTTTTTTTCTTTTTTGGTTGATGCCTGTTTATTTTGTTATCATAACTATGTGATTATGTGGTTGATTTCATTTTCATTAAGCATTGTTTTTTCCTTGCTGTCTGCAATCCTGTTCGAACAGAACTTGTGTTCTGTGAAGGCTAAAGCCCATTAAAAAGCAATAGTTCAGCTTAAAAGTATTGTTTTTAATACAGTAATGTGAAAAGCTCTTACTTTGAAATGAGTAACCACATCAATCTTCATTCACACTCATAAAATAGTTTTAAAATCTCTTTGAACTCCATATGGTTGCAGGTGTGTTTTCATCAGATGACTGTGCAGTGCAGATAGACCTGAACTTGGCCAAACTGCTGCACCAGAAATGGAAGGAGACTATCCAAGTGAGTTCAAATATTTAGATTTTCTTATGTTTACAGTGTTTATATATTAACCTACAAAAAACAACATAGGTTGTTTAATGTGACTGATTCTGAATTTATGTAAAACTTACCTAGTGTCTGTTGTCTTTGGCAGGAGAAGCACAGACAGGCAGCTCTGTCCTATCAGCTAATCCAAGAGAGTGAGACAGCTTATTCTATCAATATTCTATCAAGTATTAATAATACTTTATCTAACATATCTAATAGTTCTCACAACAAAAACAAGGGACGGATGTGTGTCTCTAATGCTTTTTAAAAATGTCATGAGACACCAAAGTGTATCCAATTTGTGAAAACTGCTCTGTACTGGAAATAATTTTTCTCTGTTTCTGCTCTTTGCTCCCCATCTCTTTTTGTGTCTCCATGGTAACGAAGGTCCTGTCCACTGGGGTGAATCGCAGGGAAGCAAAACCAGACTGAGGGACCAATTAGGTTTGCGTGAAGAAATTCCTTTTATGGATCATTGGAGTGCATCCTGTGCTCCTGTCTCACTGAGGGACATCATGATCGAAGAGCAGGTGATGCAAGACAGCATGGAGAAGGTAATAGTCACACATAGGAAAAAAAATCATCACTGCCTAGAACTTTGAAAAAGTAGTGAAAATTAGCTATGTTTGGGTTTTAGTCCAGGTCAAGTCGGAAGGACCTGGATAAGAAAGACGGTGCAGCCAAGCTGAAGGAGAACCAGCTGTTTTCCATGTTCCCCTCCATAGACCGACATTTTCTCAGGGACATCTTCAGAGATCACAAGTGAGAATATGATACATAGTGGTAGACTGT